AAAGAATATCCGTATTCATAGCGTGTGTATATGTGTGTGTGTATACGCTCACGGATGCATTCGTGTACGTTCACAGTACAGAGAGACAAAGAGAGAGAGAGAGAGAGAGAGAGAGAGAGAGAGAGAAGAGAAAAGGATATAAGTAAACTCATCGGAGTCCGTCGTATCCTACGCCAATGTAAGGCGCGAAGGGAAGAATACGAAGGCACGAAAAAGAGTTTGCCATCGGGCGAACACTTTCCAGCGCGAGCTCGCTGAGTTCCACGACCGCGTTTCGGGACAACAGCACGCCGGTACCCAACCGTGAGGCCCCCCCGTCCTTGGTCCGTGTCAGTGGCATAGACCATAGAGGGCCCGTTCAAGGTCGAACCGAACGTTCACGAGTACTCGCGAAATCGCCCGAGGATTAGGCCGCTCGGGTATCGTTCGGAATCGCTCGTCTTAACTCGGCATTCTACGTCGTGTTGCCCGTGCGACGGCACACGTGCGAGAGAGAGAAAGAGAAAGAGAAAGAGAAAGAGCAAGGGAGAGAGAGAAAAAGAAAAAGAGAGAGAAAGATTCTACGCGAAGACCGAGACGAGGAGTGGGAATTGATGGGAGGCGATCGAGGGGCCTTACACCGAGTGTCATCCTATACCCGTGGGCCTGCCACGTCGTTTCGCCGCGTCTTAACGCACATTAATACACGTTATGCGTACACCAACACGCTGCGACACCACTCGCGGTTTTCACCTCCCTTTTCCCATTTTTTTTTGTCTTGCTTCGTTACGTTTCGTTTCGTTTCGTTTCGTTTCGTTTCGTTTCGTTTCGTTTCGTTTCGTTTCATGTCGTTTCGTTTCGGTTTGTTTCGTTTTGTTTTCTTTTATTTTTTCTTTTCTTTCTTTTTTTTTCTTTCTTTTTTTTTTTTTTATTATTTTTTTTTTTTTTTATTTTTCTTTATTCCTTCTTTTTTTTCCCTTTTAATTCTTTTTGTTGGGTTTTCTTCTGGTTTCTTTTTTCTTTCTTTCTTTCTTTTTTTCTTTCTTTTTTTTTTTTTTCATTCCTCACTTCTCCCTTTTTCTCTCCTCCTTCTTTCCTCTTTTGCTCATCATCTCCTTATTTTCTCCTTTCCTCTCCTCCTCCTCCCCGCCCCCCTCCTTTTACGTATATTCATCTTTTTCTTATTCTTATTTCTTATTTCTTATTTCTTATTCATATCCTTTGTCAGACCTTTCTCGTAGCTTCTTTGAGGTACGAAATTCTTGTTCGTGCATCAAACCTCCTTCTCCTTCTCCTCCTCCCTCCCTCTCCACGTCTTCCCAATTCCGAGGTCTACAGTTCAGTGATATATTCATCATTGGAATTTTTCCGCTCGTTTGTAGATCTTTTTTCATTTTCTTTCCTTCTTTTTCTTTTTTTCTTTTTTTTTTTTTTTTTTATACCCCTTAAAGAGACAAGAGATAAAATCGTTACAACCAATTATCACTCAATCGATTATCACTGCAAACGAATTTATCCTCTCTCTCTCTCTCTCTCTCTCTCTCTATTTAATATAAAAGGAAATATAATAATCGAATAAATATAAATACTCGTTTAATAATTACGATTTTAGATTGAGTTATATACCGTGCGTTCAGATAATATTTGCGATGTATCAACTAGCCTCGATCTTTTTTTTTTCTTTTTCTTTTTTTATTAGAGGTGTTCTCAGGCCCTCCCATCCTTCTCCTCCCTTGCTCCCCCCTCCCCCCGAATGAATTCTATTATCAAATCGAAGAAATAGATCGTTCGAAGTGGTTTACTACAAGTTGACTGGTTGTCTGGTTGTCTGGTTGTCTGGTTGCTTGGTTGCTTGGTTGCTTGGTTGCTTGTTGGTTTAGTTGACCGACGGTCACAACGACAATGAGCGACGCTGTCACGTTCTAGCTCGTTCCGTATAACGGTCCACCTACCCAAATAAGCCTTCTTCGAGTCCTACTATCGATAGTAGCCTGTCGTCGATAATACACCGATCGCCGAACATGCTTCGTTGGCATCCTTAACTTCGATAGGGCACTTAACTCTCTCGTTATACGTTTCTCTCATATTCGATTCGACTCGTTTGCGTTTGGTTGCCCTTTAAAGGACCCGCCATCCCGATAAGGGACATACAACGTCCGCGTTCTCGACAAGATAATATCTAAATTCCTTAATCGATACTCACCCTCATCCTCTCTCTCGTCTCTCTCTCTCTCTCTCTCTCTCTCTCTCTCTCTCTCTTTCGCTCGTTCTCGATCTTTATTATTTTACTTTTACCTCGTTTACGAAATAGAAAGGAATTTCTTGTTTTTCTTTCTCTCTTTCATTTTTATTTATTTATTTATTTTTCCTTCTTCTTCATTCCAAAATCTTTTCTGACGCGTATAATTATAAAGACCATGAATACGTAAGAAATATTTTTTGTTTTTTTTTTTTTCTTTTTTTTTTTCTTTTTTTTTTTCTTTTTTTTTTTCATTCGCGTAATTATAAACGGAAAATTAATGGGAAGATATTTATTACTGATCTGTTGGTAATATGATATAATTGTTAATTGTTCCTCATCGATTAATAAATGTGTCGATGAAAATATTTTATCAACTGTCTCGATATTTTATTCTTGAATAGACATTATCGATTCTTACAAATTCGATGATTGATTTTTTAAATCATCGTCGCTCACATTATACAATTTACGTATCATTCGAGTGTCGATAAGAAAAAAGAAAAAAAAAAGAAAAAAAAAAAAGAAACAAATAAATAAATAAATGAAATAGAATGAATTAGTTAATTAATGAATCTACGCGAACGAATGGTTAATTATTATAGTTAGATCGTTTATCGATATAAATCAACCGAGTAATAATAATCATTAATCATTAATAATAAATCCAACTAATGAATTCTTTTCTACGAATTAATTTAATTAATAATTTACTATCGAAAGAATGCATAACAATGTGGCGTTAATCATCGCGAGATAATTTTTTTCTCTTTTTTTTCCCTTTTTTATTTTAAATTACAATACCACGGTAGAATGTACACTGTGGTAGAATTAACGGTTTTAAGTATACGACCTTGTCTATTCGATTCATCGTCATTATTATCTCAGACTTTTGTATGCCCTTCCCCTCTTCCACCACCACCACCACCACCACCACCACCCCTCCGCCCCTTCAACAATAACACCACCATCACCATCATCGCTTCCCTCCAATTAACAGAAAATATCTTATTATTCTTTTTATCTTTTAATTTCCCGTTTACATTGTTATTGCAATAACAATTATACGTTTTGTTAGAAAGCATAATTGAAATGTTACTTTCATTCGTCGGATATTATGGCATGTGTGAGATACATACGCATATACCGTAGCCGTAGATGATGAAAGTTACGATATGAGTTATCGAAAAAAAAAAAAAAGAAAAAATTACCAATTAGTATAAAACGTTAATTAGAACGAACAATTCTAAATTCCTTCCTTGAATCGACGATGTAATAATTATTAGAACGATATAACAGATAGGAATGAATCAGTATAATTTTATCGATCATTGTTCGAGCTAAACTTTGTTGTCGTTTCGTAAATTTTTATAAATAAGATAAACGTAATAATAGTAAAAAAATAAATAAATAAATAAATAAATAAATAAATAAATAAATAAATAAATAAATTAAAAGATAAATAATAAAAAAAAAAAAAATAAGAAGAAAAACATATGAAGTTAAATGCAACGAGGAATAAATTACAAAGGTTTTCTTTTTTCTTTTTTTCTTTTCTTTTTTTTTTTTCTTTTTTCTTACTTTTTTTTTTCTCGATTTTTACTGTTTAATGCCGCACTTTAATTTTCATTCGTGTGAGTCGTGAAGTATGACTATAAAAAGAGAGAAAAGAGAAAGAAAAATTAAGTAGAAAACATCAATTAAAACGTAACGAGGAATAAATCAACGATATTTATCAATAATTTATTTTCATTACCGAGTCGTAAGAAAATCGATGAGAAAAATAAGTAGAAAATATCGTGTCAGACCAAACGAAAGGCTAAATTAATATACATATGTATATATATATATATATATTTACGATTTAACTAAGAATATTTAATTTTTATCCTGACGAAACGTGAGTTCGATTAAAAGGAAAGAAAAAAAAAAAAAAAAAGATAAAAAAGGAAAAAGAAAAGGAAAGAGAAAATATAAAAGTAAATAAAAAAACGTCGGTGGCAAAACGCAATAACGAAGAATAAATTACGATAATAATTTCGATTTATTTTGGCGAATTATATATATATATATATATATATATATATATTATTATTATTGACGACGATTGTTCATAAGTATGACATGAAAAAATAAATAACTAAAATCGAATTAAACGTGACTGAGAATAAATTACGATATTTTTTTTATTTCTTCCTCTCTCTCCCTCTCTCTTTCTCGAATCATTTAGCAAAGCATCATTTTTATTTGACGCCAATCGTAAGTGTGACAATATTTCATTTGACATTTCGATGTTTCGATGACATACCATTTCTCTCTCTCTTTCTCTCTCTCTCTCTCTCTCTCTCTCTCTCTCTCTCTCTCTCTCTCTCTTTAACTTTCTTCGATAGCGTCAGATAGTCAACATTAATATTAATTAGAAATAACGAATTAATAAGTGTGGGACGGCTCGTGTGAACGTGACCCCGAACCATCTTCGTTCGCCTCCTTGTATAAGCGTCGCGTTCTTACGGTTTAACGTTAGTATACGTATGTATACGTACTTACTTGTTCGAGCGCAGTTCGCGAGAACGCACAAAGAGACGGATAGGCACTTTAGCGAGGGAGGAGGATACCGGTTGGCATTCGAAGTAATCGCGGAATTCTCTCTGAGAGACAGAGAGAGAGAGAGAGAGAGAGAGAGAGAAAGAGAGAGAGAGAGAGAGCGAGAGAGAGTATAGTTGTATGTACCTTTACTCGACGTTTATGGTTGTGCGTGTAGATATACCTAACGTATGTGTAGGTTCAAGTCGAAGGGTGGAAAGGGGACAGCAGAAAGAAGAACCTCTTTAGGGATCGACGCGCTTGGGTAAGTAGCTAACTTCTCTCGGAAATGAGAATGAGCAAAGTAGAGAAAATAGAAATAAATAAAGTGAGAGAGATGGGAGTAGAGGGAGAGAGAGAGAGAGAGAGAGGGGGAGAGAGAAAGAGAGGGAGAGAGAGAGATTGATTGATTCTTTTCTACTTGCGATTTATTTATTCATTTATTTTTATTTTTTATTTTACTTCTTTTTGCTTTTTGTTCTTTTTTTTTTTTTTTTTTTTCTTTTTTTTTTTCATTTATTTTATTTAATTTTATTTGTATTTATTTATTTCTTTTCCTTTTCTTTTTCTCTCTTTTTCTTTAATTTTTATTATTATTATTATTTTATTATTATTATTATTATTATTATTATTATTATTATTATTATTATTATTATTATTATTATTATTATTATTATTATCAGTTACATGGGGATATCTGATGGATGTACGAGACGAAAAAAAGATGAACGATTTAATATGTTAATATGTTTAATACGTATGACAAAGTTTTAAAAGAATTACATTTGATTTATATAATTCATGAATGCTTGAATATTTAATCTAGATATATATATATATATATAATAATATATAAAATCGTTGTATATATTGTATATTGATGAAAAGGACAGACATACGCACGTACAGTACATACGTATGTTTATATTTTGTATTATATATAATACAAACGTTGACAATAATTTACGTAATAATATTTATATGATATAAATTTTATAATTATATATTATATTATATTAATATAATATATAAATATATATATATACATGTGTGTGTGTGTATGTGTGTGTCTTATAAATCTTTTTTCTATTAATTATCAGGTCTTTTTTCTACCGTATAATTTCGAAAAAAAAAAGGGAAAAAAGAAATAAAAAAGAAAAACAGAAAAAGGAAATTGAAGACCATAATCGTAGCGGTTCTAATAAAAACAGTTTCTAATACTTTATGTGGGTCATCTTGTATGTGTAGATATATATATATATATATATATATATATATATATATATATATATATATATATAAGCGCGTTATTCGATTTATTTTTCGAAAAAACCTGCTTTCCAGTGGGAACGGAAAGAGTAAGCAATTAGTTAGGTATTTTTAAGATATCTTCGAGCCGACGATCTTTAGATAGTTGAGAAGAAAGAGTCTCACGTTCGAATGAAATATATTTTTCGAGTATTAGCGCGTTAAAATCGTTGAGAGAGGACACGAAAGATCATGAAAGATAATTGCCCATCGAAAATCACGAATTATTCGATTTATCGTTTTCAATGCATACCCATATTTTTACATACGTCAATATATTTATATATAAGGTGTCTCGATTTAAACGATACGATCGAACGACTACCTATCCTAATTGGTTTATAAAAAAAAAAAAAAAAAAAAAAAGAAGAAGAAATAAACAAACAACCAAACAAAAAAGCAAAAAAAAAGTTACAAATAAGAATTGCTCTCCCCCTCCCTATACTCTTTTCACTTTACCACCCATAGCCCCTTTTTTTCGTTTCTTTTTATACAAGATAACAACTAACAACTTTTATACAAGATAAAAAAACATTGCTCATAATACCAAATAAGGATCGATGATATTCGATATATCGTATCATTTAAAACCAGACACTATCTATCTATCTATCTATATATATATATATATATATAGGTATAAGAGAAGCATAAAAAGGTGTAGGTAATAAGTAAGCCATTTTTATTTACAATAAACTCGTCTAATCAGAATTAACTTGCTAATTCCTTGATTGGATCCAGAAAAGCTTCCGCGACAGGAAACGATTGTTCCATGGTTGTATTAATTAAAAGTAACAGGAGTTTTGCTTGGAAAATATGACTCCTTGATTTCTTATTTATCTTAGTCTGGTATTTCCTGACAATTTATCTGAAATACTCCCTCGTCGCTTCTCCCCTTACCATCATCCTTCTATCCCCACCCCCCCACCTCTTTCTATCCCTCCCTTTTAACCGCCCTTGGAATTTAATCGTCGGTCCTACATATACCATATCTTGATATATTCGAGATAGTTTAGAACGAGAGAGAGATAGGGAGACAGGCAGACAGAGAGAGAAAGATAGAGAGAAAGAGAGAGAGAGAGAGAGAAGGGGGGATATAGATCAAGAAAGAAAAAAAGGTAGGAGGAAGGAAAGAGAGAGAGATAGAGATAGAGATGGGAAGAGAGGGAGAGAGAGAGAGAGAGAGAGAGAGAGACGAGTCTGAGAGACGAGCTAGAGGAATCTTTTCTACGATTGTAATTCGTTTCCAACAGGATGTTAGAAAAAGGGCTTTCAACAGTGTAGTGGCAATTAAAATAATGAAATGTTTGATGAACGTTCACCGGGCATAATGTAATTCTTGTTTATTCTTCTTAATTTTAATTTCATCCCTATATATATACATATATATATGCCAATGTAATAAAAGTGCCACGATAAAGTGTAATTTCATTAACACGAATAATTTTTAACGATAACATTCTTTTTCTCTCTCTTTTCTTTTTTCATCTCTTTATTTTTTTTTTCTTTTTTTTTTCTTATTCTTTTTTTTTTTTTTCTTTAATTCATTAAAAGCAACACCACCGTATTTACGAATGCAATGAAATACAAAACGAAGAAAGAGAAAATGAGTATGTGTGTGTGTGTGTGTGAGAGAGAGAGAGAGAGAGAGAGAGAGGGAGAAAAAAATTCTTGGTCTATTATTTTCCTCTTATCTTTCATTTTATTTTTTTATTTTGTTTTTTTTTTTTTTTTTAATTTTTTCTTCTCTTTTTTTCTTTCATTCTTTTTCTTTTCCCTTTTTTCTCTTTTTCTTTTTTTTTTCTTTTTTTTCTTTTTTAATTCATCAAAAATATCTCCCTCGTATTTTTAAGTAATATGAAATACAAAACGAAGAAAGAAAATAAGAGAGAGAGAGAGAGAGAGAGAGAGAGAGAGAGAGATTCTTCGTTTACTATCTTTCTCTTATCTTTCATTTTTTCTCTTTTCTTTCTTTTTCTTTTTCTTTTTCTTCTTTTTTTTTTTTTTTTTTTTTTTTTTTTTTATTGTTTCGTTTCTTTTTTCTCGTTCATCTTTTTTCCCTTTTCTTTCATTTCTTTTCCCCTTCTTTTGCTTTCTTTTTCTCTTCTTCCTTTCTTTTTTTCTCGCTATTTTTTTTTTGTTTTCATTTTTTTTTCTTTTTTCCTTTTTTTTTTCTTTTTTTTTTTCTTTTTTCTTTTTATTTTCTTTCTTTCCCTCTCGTTCGGGCCAAATCGATTATTACGCTCGAAGCTACTTAACGGTCGGAAAAATTCGCGGCTTTTTCGCTCACGAATGCTCTCCACTTCTTCCGTTCCGCGATTCTTCTTCTCCCGGGGCAACAATGCGCGAACCGTGATTAATACGTCCGCTTGTTGAGATATTTCGAATTGCCTTGGAATAGTAGACGACGGGACCCCGCGCGTCGTTTCTCCTTTTTCATATAAACATTTTCTCTCTCTCTCTCTCTCTCTCTCTTTCTCTCTTGCTCTCCCTTCCTTATTTTCTTTTTTTTCCTTTTCCTTTCCCTACCATTCGTTTTTCTTTCTATAACATCGTTCATTTTCCTTTTACGTCAATTCTACCTACGACCACGGGGAAGCCACGATGAATCATTATCATTGAGCCAAAGGAAAGAAGAGAAAAAGAGAGAGAAAAAAAGACGAAGAAAAAGAAGAAGAAGTAGAAGAAGAAGAAAAAGTGAAAGAGAGAAAATGAGAAACATACGAAAATTGTAACGTCCTGGCACTAGCAGCGCTCACATTTGCTTTAATACTTTTTCTTTTCTTCTTTATTTTTCTTTTTTCTTTTTTTGTTTGTTTTCTCTTTTTTTTCTATTCTTTTTTTTCTATCTAGAAAATTAGCAACAATGACGAAGAAAAGAAAGAAAAACTTTTGCGCCCGTATATGCGAACGCATATGTGCGTCTCTCTATCTCACTCTCTCTCTCTCTCTTTCTCTTTGCGTAGATGTATGTGCATACGGTGCATACGAGACAGAGAGTACGAACAACATGATCGACGGGAAAGAGTTTCGCGGTTTATTGTTCAAGGGCGTCGACGTACCGGCTGAACGTTACACATGAACCGTATACTTAGCAGTCATATAAGTGCGCTCAGAGAACACCATCGGTACCGTAACGAATCTTACCGGCACACCGTTAAAGGAAAGAAGGTGCTTAGGAAGTATCGATGCTAAACACGTATGTATTTATATGTATGTGTATACGTAATACGTATGCATATATGTATATATGTATATGTATGTATCTATGTATGTAAGCGTATATTTAAGAGTAACAGTAAACGTCGAATTTCTTTTGACCGGTGGTCTGTTCCGGTATCCTCGTTCCTCTCCTTTATAGGTACCATTACTCCATAAACTTTTTTATATTTATAAATTTTATGTATTCGCAATAAAGCCAATAATATTTTTCATCATCGATGACAAGAAAATGATTGGGATGTCTAATGTATTTAAAAGAAATTCACGCGTACAACGTGAACGTTTAATATATACTCGGTTGGTCTTGAAATTTTTTCTCTTTCTTTTCTTTTTTCTCTTTTTTTTTTTTCTTTTTTGTTTGTTGGTTTGTTTGTTTGTTTCCTTTGTGTGTTTCTTTTTACTCTCCCATAAGCGAGAACTCTATATATATATATATTTGGATTTGCTCTTATTGGCAGATTTATTAGTATATTACTGTTATATGTTATTTATAATATATTATTAGTACATTTAAACGAATATAAAAAGAAAAATATGATTTTAAATTAGTACATTTTATTTATTAATAATTTTTTATAATATATTATATATTACAGTACTAAAGGTTTATTATACTGTATATTTTAGTATAGTAGTAGTATATTGGAATTATTAATAATTTGAATTCCATCATCTACATTCTTAATTAAAATAAATATAATAATTCATATATATATATATATATATATATATATA